CGTTGATGTGTAAAATAAAAGCAAGTTACTTGCATTTGACAAATATATATTCTTTAGGATGATCGGTTTGTCTTAGTTCAATTTCGAATTAAAGTGTTTTGGCAAATATATTTAAAGGTCGATCCAACCAGAAGACGAAGGATTCCTCTTGATCAGCTGTGGATTGGCTTTACTAGAACATTTTTGTTGACGTTGTTTCCAAGGTATTCTTCCTCGATTCCGATGAAAATGTGCTAAGATTTAGTCCGTCACATGATGAACAGCATCAGAGCAGGGTATCATCCGTGCAGCCAAATTGAAGCTAACGAATTTAGGAAAACTCACTTAGTCATCCCTAAAAAGCTGTATATATACTCTTTATCTGACCTCTTTGATAAAGTATAAAGTGATTTGGTCAATTCCAGTCATATGTCAACATCGAAATATGTGAGTATTTGTCGCTGTATGTGTCTGTATGTGTTCACATATACACGAAACCGATAGAAATGGCTCAAAGTAATTAGGACAGCAAAAGTAACGTTTGTTCTTGGCCATTAAGGTTTAATGAACACCATCACCCCCTTTATATATATATATATGTTTAACCATCAATCCAATTGCGCAAGGTCGGGCATACATTTGGTTATGTTGATGAGCGTTTTTTTTCATGTGAAAAATAAAGAGTGGGCTAAAAGTACAGAGAAGTTACCGTGTTAGGACGAAGACAAGACTAGTCGATTCGCCTCCTTTTTGCGGGCGGCTCAACACCCTCTCTATCCTAGAGTGTATTAATTAACCACAAGTAGTTTTTACTTAAAATATTGCCGGTATTCCTTACATTCAATGTATTCCATAATCGATTTATTTTTATGGCTTCTCTAATTTTACGTTTAGCCGCAGACAGACCATAATAAGCAAAATTAGAAGTTTGAGGCCATTCAATCTCGTGTCCAGTTTCTGCCCTGTGCTCAACCAGCTCCGATTTTTGAACCCAACAGCTTCAGCAGGCGCTTTTCTGCTAAGCCACACTTTTTCGAATGGAAAGACAAGTCTCTCCAACATAAAAGCGACCACAAGAAATACATTCTTTTGTAGCAACCCGATTTAGATAATGGGTCAACTTTCTCTCTAAAAGTGGGCATAATTAAAGAAAGTGTCGTAGTTTCCCTAAAAACCGTTTTTATTCCCCACTTCCTTACTTGTTCGCCTAGCTTTCTAGATAGTGCACGAAGGCAAAGACAAAATATGGGAAAAGGTCTCTAACTCTCCTTACGTATTCACCGTTCAAAAAGCTATTCTTTATTAATCTAATGTTATTTTCAATTAAATCTAGGGGATAATCATTCTCAAGAAATATTAGTTTGAGTCGATCCATTTCATTATCACAATGATCTCTCAGTTAGTCTTATGCTCTGGATAATCATAGATTTTAAAACGGCAACCTTTGCTTTGTAACTATGGTTGGAGTATAAGTCAAGAATAAAGCTAGCATGCGTTGGCTTTCTATATAGATCCCTGTTTAATTTCTTATCTGCTCTGGTCACTAAAACGACAAAAATGTAAATCACTGTCATCTATCGTCATTGTTAACTTTTGGATGATTTAGTGATCAGAAAATGTGAGAAGTTATGCAGGTATGTACTATAAAAGCAATGCATGCTGACTTTGACTCAAACCAAAGTTACAAAACAAAGGTTGGTTGATAGAGGCTATAATGAAATGGATCGGAAACAACGTCAACAAGAATGTTCCAGTAAAGCCAATCTACGGCTGGTTAAGAGGAATCCGCCGTTGTCTTCTGGTTGGATCGAATTTCGAATCTATTCATCAAACACCTTCACTCGAAATACAAGTAAGCTCGAAAATTATGAAAAAAGTGAGTCTTCGCAATACAACCTTTCTTCGTATCTTGTATTACATAGCATCAATTGAAATACCAAAAGCTTCAACTCCATCAGCATGATTATGCTGCGACAAAATAGACAAGATTATGGGTATTAGTGCTAATGAATATTTCCCTAGTTTTATCACAATAAAAGATTGAAGAGAGGAATTGCGGCTCTGCCCTGGATTATAATAGCTAACGGCCAAATTATTTTATTTTAGCACAAGCACTAATGGCAAAGCCTTACACGAACCTGCTATAAAGTAAAGTAAAGGCACATGAGTGCGCGACATGAATAGGAGATCAAATAAAAACCAGGGTCGCCTTCATCCAAGAAGTCTAAATAACTTAATAAAAAGAATAAGCTCAACAAGAATACATTCAAAGAAACAACTAAAACTCGATCTAAATGCAAAAATTAGCTTACCTTTGTAAATCATCAACGAAAAGAAGATAGTTAATCTGTAAATTTCGATAAATGAAATGATAATACACGTCATATGCTTTCAAAGAAGTGGTACTTACTGCCAGGATAGGCATGTCCAATAGAATGCAGACTGGCTGCGAGCTCAGCATACCGACGGGCGACCGCATGAGGCCTGATTAAATTATAGGCCCGGTGATTCAGCATGAGGCCACCAACACCACACGCTCCACCGGAGATAGTTGCTGCAGAAGCAGAATTCGATGAACTAGAACCAGAACCAGAAAGATTCGGAAGATGGGCAGCCACTGCCGCCTCGAAACCAGTCAGATCGAGGTGGGTAGAGAGTGAGGCAATGTGGGCATCAAGACGAAGAGAGACCGCATTCCACATCCAGTCTGCTAGCCGGATAAAATACCTGGGTGATGTGTATGTCAGTAAAAATATTGGGAATAGAAAAAGATTCCTACATGCCCAGTATTTGGTATTGATAGCCAAGCCACACAGGTGAAAATATCCCACTCTTACCTGAGTAGCAGTAGTTCTTTGCATATATTTTTATTGAACAGTTTAGAATGTGAATAATTCTTCAAGATACTTGGTTCTGGAAATCCTACTTTACAACCATAGTCCATAGCCGATAGCCTATTGGGTAACGAGAATGGTCAGTAATATATCGCCCTAGGTCTTATATATATATAACACCTAAAACTCTTAATTGGATTAATTGGCAGATTATTATAGAGCCAGTAAGAATATTTGGGCCAAAAGTTTAGCATACTTGGCTTTATTTGAGGCGTGGCTAGCCAAAATGGGTGATACAAATAAGAAATGCGTTAATTTTAAAATGAAGATCTAGCTACTGAGCTGAGATATGAGAAAGAGCAAGAAAGCAGCTGGCTAGTTTCAATACATTAGTTAGCCGAGACTAGCCTAGTAAACCAAAATAGAACTTGTAAACCCAAAGCAGTACTGATTTCAGAACATGAGAAAAATTG